CCTCGAATAATTTCGATCACGAATCGTATCACCAATCGTCGTCAAAATCCAAATTTTCCTGGAGATCTAAATTCTCACACTCGTCGATCGAAAGATAGCGGAATAAAGGCACTGTTTCGCGCGAAAGAACGCGTGGCGGATCAGCTGTTCGAATCGACGAGGAATTCGACGAGGACGGATCGCGGAATGCGGCTCGCGGCATGAGAACCGAGCTACTGATCGAACGCAAGCGCGAGTCGCGCCATGCCCGATCCGCGGGCCACGAGCGCGGCCGAACACCTGGCTCGTGCGTTTCCGCCGAATCTAGCCGTTCTTATAAGGTGAGATCCACCGGCGCACCGATGCACTCGCGATCCTACGCGAGCGCGCCTACGCGTCTCGATATCGGAAACAATCGAATTTCTTTTCAACTCGATGCCGATTTCGACTCGAGGATAACGATAATCGTTTATTGGAAGGAAGAGCTCGTTTAACGGTGAACGAAACGTTTGGAACGTTTCCTTGAGGTTAATAAGGCGCTCGAGTTTAAAAAAAAATATATAATAATTGTTTGAAGAAGTCACGGACGTTTGCTTAGGATTGTACGCTAATCGAACTTATTACTTTTCTACTTGGTTCTAGCAATTAAGAAAATTGATTCCGCTGCTACGTGAAAGGGGGAATATATATATATTTTTTTTTAGAGGTCTCATGCTTTCGTGCGGATAAATGGTGTGAAGAACTTGATGCAACTCATCCATCGATTTAATAGCATTATTTGATGATCGCAGATTTGTTTGTGTATTAATCCATAAATTCGATTTATTTAAAATTCTTTGTAAATATATTTCGTCGTTATATTTCGTGTATGGCCGATTTATCGATTCGATATTAAAAAGATAGCAAAATTCGATATATTCAATTTCGCACAGATGTTTCTTAATTTATTTATTATATGGTAATTTAAATCAAGCATCGTAATGAACGCGACTCTTGAATGATTCTTCGTTTAATTCCACGCCATAGGAAAATTTTAATGAAATGCTATCAAATTAACGATAAGGGCTGGTAATCGAGCCGTATTCTCCATAGGTGATAAAAGAAACAAAAGAATAATTAGTAAGAAGCCACAACAAAGCAGTGTTTATTACATAATGATTACAATATGAACGGTATACAAAAGTTGTAATCAAAAGATGAAAATACTCCAATGATTCGTTTACACTCGCAACTGTATTCGTTGCAAAATAAGGGGAAAAAATTAATAAGAAAGGTAATATTAATTAAAAATTAAATTATATAAACGAACGACGTTAGAAAAATTATATTCAATATTCACGTTGCGAAAGGAAATTGCGTACAACTTCTTCCGGCAATATTTCCTTTTTTCAATAAATTACGATTTTTCCTTTTTTTTTTTCTTTCCTTTTCTTTCGAACGAGGTAACAACAACAACAACAATAATAATAATAATATTAGTCGTTTTCTCAAAAAAAAAAAAAAAAAAAATTCTCATTACTTAAGCAACTTTAAATTAAATATTTAAATACTGCCTCCCACATGTTTCAGAGATAAAAAAATATACTTTAAATATATTATGTAAAACGATATTTAAATTTACGAATAATCCATTCATAAAAAAGCTGGATCGAAACGGACATCAAATGTGCAAATAAAATAATAATTCGTTACACAGCATGCAAATATGATCATGGCTCATAGAGTTCAGGCAAATTTGTCACATGCATTTGTACTTATATCGAAGTTATATATAAAATATTATTGTAGCATACAATAATTGCTTTTGTACGCAACTTGAATTGTACTCATTGACTTTTCGAGATCGCGAAATGATTTCTTTTTCCGTATATACATTTGAGCAAACGTATCACGATTAATTCAAATATTATTAATTCAAACATTATGTTACAAATGATTTGATTCTCTTTAATATTTTTCTTTTCTTTTCTCTTCTCTTTCTTTTTTTTTTTTTTTTTTTTTTACTAATTTTCATTCTACAACAATTAAATACAAAAATCACAATCGATTACACTTACGTAATTAATTAACATTCGTTTCAAATGCATACACTTATCAAGGGATACATTTTTCGAAAAGTAAAAAAAAATGCACATTCGTAAAATACTAATACTCGTATATCAGTCTTTGCGAATGACTTACAAAATATTATTTGTACGTGATATTTAATCGAACATAATATTGTTTAACTCGAGGCTAACTTAAAAACAAGTTCAAAGATCAAATCCACCGGATTTTTTCTCTTGTCTTAATCACCATTCTTCTAATTATAATCTAATTTTGCAAATATTTTCCAAATATAATTTCAAGTTTCGTTCACCTGTAACTGTATACAGTCTGTAGTCGTCGTTTCAAATAAAGTTTTAAATAATTGCAGCACGTATTCGTTCGTATTTGCGAGTACGTACTGCGAATAGAAAAATTGTGTTATAAATTGTATAAATATTTTAAAAAGTTAAATCAATCGAGAAACATTTTCAAAAATGTTGTTCGAACGAGGAGGAACTCATCCACCCCTCCTCTCCTTCCATCTCGTGGAAATATTAAATTCCAAAAGTGTCGCAGTTGGGTAAAAGAGAAAAAGAAAAAAAAAAAAAGAAAAAAAAATAAAATTAAGAGAGAAGCAAAAACACAAGTCCGCTGAGAGCAGTGACTAATACAGCGGCCATGTACGACAGCGAGATAGGAAATGATCGACGGTCAATTTTATTGTTGTACTCACCACGAATTTGCTTGACGTATTTTTCACTTCGTAACGAATTGCTGACAGACTCTAACAACGTGTGCAGACACCGCAGATTTTCTCTACACGTGCACTCGAGTTCCGTCTACAACATAAAAAGAATTTGCTTCAATCCGAAAAAAATTCATTTTGAATTTGAACCTGTTTATTCGATTTCCATCACCGTTAAACGATTTCAATAAGAATCTTAAAAATCTTTGAAAACAATTATCGATCGTTGGATCGACATTTATTGAAGCAAGTGTGAAAGCAGAAAAGGATGCGAAAAAAATATTTATATGATAGAATTAAACGAATTATAGAATAGAATAGAAAGCCTTAAAAATTACTGCAACTGTACCTTGTAAATCTGCATTCAGAAACGGTTCTCACAACACTCGTATCCTTCTAAGAAACAACATGTGAGGTAGAGGCATAAATACTGGCTTGAATATTTATCACTATCATTTGTACATTGCAAAAAGCGATGGGATAAGGATAGGATAATAGAACGTGCAAATAAATATCGTTATACAAAACCTGGATCCTGTTTGTATCGAAAATCACGATCATTTCGCACGCGATTCGAACGAATCGCGCGTATTTTCCTTTAATGTTTTTATTTTTATTCGTAATATCTCGTTCCTTATGAAAAATAAATGATAACGATGAAAAAACGATGAAAGAGTGTATTAAAATAAAAAAAAAAAAAAAAGAAAAGGTAAATCAGGTGAACGAACACAAATAAAACAAATAAATAAGAAAGGAAAAAAAACCTGTTTGTTATTAAAATAATTTTCTTTAATAAAAATAATTTATTTATACTTTTACAACATATATGTATATATATATATATATATATTTATGTATATGATCGATTCATATACATAATGATAATTAAAAAGAAAATATGTATTAAACTATCCTATTCTACGTCACTACCACATCAAACGTTTAAAAAAAAAAAAAAATATATATATATATAGAAATTACTTATCATACAATATATTAAGTAGAGGAACAATAATCATTAAAAATAAATTATAGCAAGTAAAAGTATTTAAAAATCAGCGTTAAAAAAATAAAATAAGAAAAAAAAAAAAAAAGAAAAGAAAAAGAAGAAAAAGAAGATCAGAGACAGAATACAGATATAATCGTTTCGATACACAAGCGGTCATAGAAATATTTCTCGTTATAATTAATTACGTTTTTTTAAAAGCTTATAAAATAAACATCGAACGATCTCTATATAAATTTAAAATGGAAGCGTAAAAAGCAGAGAGAAGCCCATAAGCAGGAAAAATACTCGTTGCATTTTTCGTAGACGCATTACAGAACGCACGCTAAACGTACTAGAAAATAGATCATGCAATCGTGCATGCGTATAATATGAACGCATGCCGTCTACAATCTTACGATAAAAGCGTGAGAGGAGCGTTTTTATATTTTTTAGTAAATTTCCGCACACTCTGTACAACTTTTGCATCAAGTACGAAAACAACACCTTTGATAATATACGTACGAAATCTTCTGGCATCGAGCCGGTGTTCGACCTCGAGAACAAATTCTCAGCGAGTGACAATTGACTTTGCGATTTCTCCACTATGTTCCGGATATCATCTACGTCGCTATCGCTATCTTCCGTCGTATCCGTTATTTCCTGCAAACAAATTTCAAATTTTCTCAATTTTCTCTCTCGTCTTTCGATTAACTCTTGTTAATCAAATCAATCAAATACACGATTAATCATTTATCTTTGCACAAGTTAACATTCGTTTCACGAGGTTAATTTCACTTTGAGATCGTTCTATGGTGATCTTTATGGTGAGAGATGGTTAAAAGATTTTTACAACTTCTTTCGTAATAATTACGTGTTACGCGTTCAAAAGGGCAGCGTGCAAAAGATATCGAAATCGAGCGTGGAAAATGAATTTTCGTCGGCTCGAAAGGTTAAAATTTCTTTCGCACACGGCTATCACAGCTATCTGATTTATTGATCAAGATAAGAATTCATTCCATTGTACATAGAAACGATCCTAACTACGCAATATGTTGTTGTATCGCATCGCATGAAAATCGACGTATAATATAAAAAAATCTAGTTAAAATTGTTCTAAAATAGTTGTTTTCTTTTTTTATCAATGATATCAACAATAATATCAAATGTTAAATACTTATATTTATTTGATATTTATGAATAATACTGCGGATACATTTTTATACATCATAGAAAAAATTACTAAAAATGTACGTAAAAATTGGACGAAAATAAATATATAAAATTTTATTCGATACAAGTGTAATTCATCAGAATATAAACCCGATATTTGTCGTCGAAATCTTGCTCCAAATACCGTCCACGAGACATCTCTGGCAGCGACTGTGTCAGTAATTACTTCGTTTATCCTCGTTAAGAGATCGTCATGGCAGAGACGCGTTCATCTCAAAGAAGGCTTGATAAAAGACGAGAGAGACAGAGAGAGAGAGAGAGAGAGAGAGAGAGAGAGAGAGAGAAGAGAGAGAGATAG